GTTGCTATACTCTATACATTATTAATTTTATTTGTTTGTTTCATTTTTTATGTTGAACGCTTCAATAAATTTTCTTGTTTTATTTTTATGCTGGAGTATACTTGCATTATCAATTAATATTTCTCTAAAACGTGAACATGGACAGGAATGTTTTTTTGTGCAATAGAAATAGTATCCGACATATGTAAAGTAAGCCTTCTTGATAATGTTGTCGTCGTGAAACTAACATATATATTTGAGCTTTTTGTCAGAGATACAATGTCACAAAGGATATTTAAATTTATATACAATGCTGGTCTTTTGCAAAACATTAGTTGACGGTGAATAGGTTTTCCGGGTGTTTAAGTTCGTTGTATTTACTTTAGTATAGTATATAATTATTTTTTTTTTTTACTTTACTGGTATAAATGGAGGATATATTAGAACTTATGAGTCTTTTTTGAGGATTTTTTTTTAATCTTCTTTGTCGTTAGAATATATTTGATTGCGGTACAGTAGGTTAATATGTTTAGGTTTACTTAAGGAAATATTATCGCTTCACGCAAGCCGCTAGTGACATTCTGGCGGGAGGCCGACGGCAAAGCCAGCGCTCCTCTGGTGGCAGCCACCGGTGGGCCTCTAGCGGTCCGTCAGTGGTAAAATTGCCGAGACGAATACGCCGACAGTCCAACAGCGGCCCACCAGCGGTAGACGCTAGTGGCATACCACTCAGTGGCGGCTTGCGTGTAGTGATGTTCTTTTTGGTTTATGTTAATATTTCTAAAAGCTCTAAAGGTATACTTAATATGACTAAAAGACAATCTAACAGAGAGGAAATAGATGAAATATAAAAAGACATCCAAGAATCACCGTCCTTAGGCTCACAGAAGAACTTAACAAATAATAAAATTCCTTTTCTTGATATATTGACAGACGCCAATATTTCACTACCTACATTCCACGTATAGTAATTACTATAAACACGTGCACTCTTAACTATAAAAATAAATTTCCTGACAATTACAAATCACCGATTATACAAAATTTAATAAACCGTGCAAAAGTTAACTCTTCCACTAAATAAATATTCTACACGGAATTAAAAAAATATAATAATTAAAAAACTCTCATTAATAATGATTTTCCAAATTTCCAAATTAGATTGTTGAACAAATTAGAGGAGCTATAAATAAAATTACTGACTGAGCATTTAAAATCATTAATAATGAAAAGTATAGATTAAGTTACCTCCCTTACATACTCTTAATGTTAATTGTAATATGGCAATAACGGACCCCTATCATGTGCATTTACAAAAAATTACAACTATCAAGTACATTTATTTTTGACTATGCAATTCACCTCTGAAAATAATAGAAAGTACCAAAACTACAGTGTCTTTCTTAATCATTTTTTAACAGGATTAATATATTGATCCATGAATTTGAGAGAATTAAAATTAAAATAAAAAGACATAAAAAGCCTAGATTATTTGAACATATATATATATATATATATATATATATATATATTTATTTAAGAGTTCATTCATTATTTCGTGTATTGATTTGTTGGAACGTAGACCTGTTAAATTTGCCTAAATGCATTAATAATAAAAAGTATGAATTAATTTACCTCCTTTAAATATTCTTAATATTGATTTTAAAATGCTTATAACGGAGCGTGATTCATGTGAATTTCCCGCAAAAAATCAAAACTATCAGTTCTATTCATTTTTTTTGTCTTAGCTATGCACTCATAAAGATGATCTTCGATGTCATTGAAGTTATTTGGGAAAATAAAAGAAATAAACAAAACTACGGCGACTTTCTTAAACAGCATTGGATTTGAGAGGGTTAAAATAAAAAATAAAAAAGTTGACATAATATCTCAAGATTATTAAACCAAATATTAAAACATATATATATATATATATATATATGTGTGTGTGTGTGTGTGTGTGTGTGTGTGTGTGTGTGTGTGAACGCGCGCGACGTGCTGCCAAAAAGCTCAAAGTTCGGCACACTTTTAAAGATAATAAAGCAGAAATATAATTATTGAGAAGCCATTTTAAGTTAGTGCGAAAATGTTCTTGTTCAAGTAATTATTTCATGTTTTTGAAAAATTTCATATATATATATATATATATATATATATATATATATATATATATATGTGTGTGTGTGTGTGTGTGTGTGTGTGTGTGCATTAATTAAAAGAGGAACAGACAACTTTAAGGCTCCATTGTAATAAATTATTTCACCAGAGGATTTTATTTTTCCCTGGATCTTCAGATATCACTTTCAAAAGGTGAAACGAAAAATGAAATTAAAATTTACACTATTGACGGGCAGTATTAAGCTTATATAAGTTGACATAGAAGGTGGTGAGTAATAGTGTGAGAGACATGGTCTTTATTAGAGAGGGAAGGGAGAGTTTTAAAATTTATTTTTATATTTCTTTTTATTATAATACTTAATATTGAGAGGTAGGGTAAGGATCAGATATTGACCCTATTTAATCGGTAAAAACTCTAATTTAAATTTAATTATATATGTATATGTGTGTATGCGTATATTTATATATGTGCATTTATACATACATATATATATATATATATATATATATATATATATATATATATATATATATATATCCTGTCTTTCGCAGTGTCTTTTTCATATCATTAACTTTGTACTAAAGATATATTTTTTAATTTTACAATCAAAAATTTCTTATTTCTTCTCAAATTTTCTAAAGAAACGTGCCATGATTTTTAAACTATGAAGGAAATCAAACGTTCAATTTTTTTGAATTAAATAAAATGTAAAAAAACAAAACTTAATATTAAACCTTTAACAACCATTTAAGTATGCTGTACATATAAATATGTATCTGTGTGCGTTTGTGGTTTATGTGTATATATCTGTAAGCGTGTTCATGGCATACTCCTGCATTATGAATTCATTCAAGAAAGTTTCATTAAAATCGATCGCAAAGCATTTTTGTTATATTTTTAATACATTTTCCTATTTGGCGAATAATTAGTTGCGCATCGAGATTAGATTTTTGAAAAAAAAATGTTCAAATCTCATATCTTTTAATTTTCAACTATTTCTATTCATTTTAAAGAATTTCATCACAAAAAATAGTGCGGACGTCTTCAATTTGATTTTGTAACCCAAGATTATCCGTTTAAAGTCAATTTACTAATGCCCTTGGGAAAGGCATGAATCTTATTCTCTTTTCGTGTTAAATAGAAGTGTTCACTGTAATCCTTACCCCACCGGACACAGAGACACACACAAATGGAAACACACACACACATAGAAATACACAAACGCAGACACACATATGCACAGAAATATACATATATATATATGACATATATATATATGACATATATATATATATATATATATATATATATATATATATATTATATGTTTTTTATGTGTGTGTGCATGTGTGGCTTGCGCGTGCACTGCTAACGCGATATTGTGTGTGTGTGTGTGTGTGTGTGCAATATATAGAAAAATAGAAAGACCCGTTAGGTTAATAATCAAAGTTCATTAGTATTTTATTTTTTTAAAACTGCTCAATACACAAGTAGAGCCTAAATTATCTATCGATCTATCGATATATATATATATATATATATATATATATATATATATATATATATATACATATATATATATAATAAATTAACGGATTTAAAATATGGTTCCTTCAAGCACACACAATTACCATGTTTCAAAATGCGAAGCTAAAATCTTCAAATTTTATTATATAATGAAATTAAAAGAATTAGTTTTCAGAACTAATGCTTTTAATTTTAATTTAATTATTTTAATAAGCGAAGGAACCATGTTAATTTATTATATTTATGATCTGTAAATTTACATTGAGCACTGTTTGTAAAATAAACAATAAGAACACCAGATTATATATCTTACTGTTCTTTCTTTTTACCATAATATATATATATATATATATATATATATATATATATATATATATATATATATATATATGTATATATATATATATATATATATATATATATATATATATATATATATATATCTATATATGTATATATATATATATATATATATAGATAGATAGATAGATAGATAGATAGATTTAGAGGGACACAGAAATCATGATTTCATGATAACTCACCTTTACGCCTAATATTATCATCAAAACTACAGGAAATTTAAATTCTCTCTCTCTCTCCCTCTCTCTCTCTCTCTCTATATATATATATATATATATATATATATATATATATATAGAAGTACAGGGTTTGTACAGGTGGAACAAAATTCCGACATCCAAAATACTATTCTTAAAATGAGTACTCAATGCAGATGTTATAACATGCAGATGTTATAATTTTGAATCTCTCTCTCTCTCTCTCTCTCTCTATCTATCTATCTATCTATATATAGGAATTATTTTGTTCAAAGGTTATTTTTTATGGATAAATATATTAGAGTATATGCTCTGTTTCTGAATTAAACAGCATATTTTATGTAACTACATCTATTGGCTGGAATCTTTACAGAAATCTATGAGTCCTCCGGCAGGGTTCGAAAATGCATCTCCTATGATGAACCGTCATTAGATCTGACGTGCCTAATCGCTCGGCCACGTAGGAATTGCAATCAAACGAAGTAGTGCTTTTGAACACAATTTTCTCAATCATTCGGGGCAGTTGATGGAGTTGGATAAAGATTACTGTTTAATTAAAAAAAAAGACCCTCTACTTGAATATGAGTATCCATTAATAATTAAGGTTTAAACAAAATAAATTAAAAACAAGAATAAATCGGATTTAATCTGTTTCCCTATATATATATATATATATATATATATATATATATATATATATATATATGTGGGGAGAAAAAGATGGATAGAGGGTATTATGATAAAGCGAAAAGTTTTCGAGTGACGCGTTCCTTCCTTAGGCCTTCATTGGACTGACTTTGTTTCTGTTGATGAGACTGCACATGCGCACGAACGAGAGACGCCGAGATTTTCTAGTTTAGAATTTTTTTTCTTTCTTATACATCTTCATGTTATATTATCTAACCAATTCCAGTTAGGTTCTTCTTAGTTTTTTCTTTTGGTTTCCAACATCTTTGCTTTTATATATACCACATTCTGATAATTGAAGACCTGCCAAGAATGGTGAAATCTTGTAAGAACCAGAAAGCAAACTTGTTGTCGATGAACTTGCGTTGAAAGAATTTTCTCAAACATTTTCATCTCAGTGAATTATTTCCTCTTTTAATTAAAGTTGCATTTTTTTATGTAAACATTGTGGTCAGTTTCGTTATGGTGAGCAGCCAATGTGTTTAACCTGTTGTTCCTATTTAAATGTATCTTTTGTGGTCATAAACCTTTTATTTAAAATTCTTGACGTTTCTCCAATATCTCCTTTCTAGCAATTCTGGCAGGTGATAGACTAAATTCCTACTGCAAGTTTTCGGCCGTTGTTTTGTTTTGAATTGATGAAGACTTTTTTTATTGTTTTAGATGTAGTTGCGACAAATATTATGTTGAATATAGTTAAATTCTTTTCCATTATAGTTGTGTGAGGTTAGTGGGTAGAAAATATATATTTTTTGATTCATTACCCCATATATATATATATATATATATATATATATATATATATATATGTGTGTGTGTGTGTGTGTGTGTGTGTGTATGTGTGTGTATCCGATATAACAGCATAATTGTCCCATCCACAAAACGCTCCAGATCAAAAACACCACTAAACTAATTGTGTTTCCTTTTTCGAGGTTTTCAGATAAGACGTTTAGCCATCTTGGCACCGTATATCATAAGAATCACTGAAAAAAAATTATTCAGCTAGAAAGAGAGCAGGTTAATAATGTTTTGTGTCTGCCCCATTCCCTTCCCAAATGAGCAATGGTGAGAGGAAAAAGCTCATTCAGCCCTTAAGTACTGGTACCAATATTCATACATTGGCTTTCATCTTCAAAGTCCATTCGTGAACCATCAAGATAACAGTGAATAAGTATACAAAAGAGCGAACAGGAGAGAGGTAAACGAGATCAGGAAGTCAAAACAGGAAGAGGGGTCATCATAGAGCTAAAGGGGGCAATTAGAAAAGTTCCAGCTCAGTCCATAAGCCGTTTGGAACGGGAGAAAGGAGTTTCAGTTATGAGAGTTCAAAGAGCAGTGAAAAAAAAAGACATGAAAATGAAATCGTACGCGAAAACTGTGAGGCATATTGTTACTCTCAAACAGAAAGCTAGAAGGTTAGAGAGGGCGAAGTTTATCTTGAATATGTTGAAAAATGATATGGAAATAACACACACACACACACACACACACATATATATATATATATAAAGAGAGAGAGAGAGAGAGACGAGACGCGTTAAATTTGAGCAACATCTAGCCGACACACTGGGTTTAAAAATAGGAAACTAAAATGATACATATGACACACTCATATCCTATCTCCCACCTCACTTCCTCACTTCGTTAACTTTGCGTATACTTGATGAGGTCCGTAAAAAACGTGTGAATTTCTTTTCATTCTTCATTTCAGCTTTCGGAAGTAAAGTCTGATGATCCAGAACCCTGTTAAAGGGGTTATGGTGAAATAGCTTATTACATGGAATCTTAACGTGGTCTGTCTTTTTTATTCAAACATATCTGCTCTGAATTTTACATTGAGCTCTCTGGATATCATCCTCCTCAGGTCTACCCATACGGATTACCTAAGTTTGCATAAACTATATATATATATATATATATATATATATATATATATATATATATATATGTTTGAATTTAATTTCAATCCTTCATGAGCTTCAGATCTTTAGCTATGATTAATTAATGAATATGTCATTTTGATTTATGAAAGATTTCATCACGATTCTTCTATTAAGCTTAGAGATTAATTATGCATTCGTATTGCTCAAAGTAGAATCCAGTAGTGTTATATAAACCACGGATTTTCCAGTAAGTCATCTTTAATCATTTCTAAGATACAATGGATCATAGCCAATCTAACATTTTGACAATTTTTTGCTTTTACACGATTTGGACAATTTTTAGGTTACACCCGATATATATATATATATATATATATATATATATATATATATATATATATATGTGTGTGTGTGTGTGTGTGTGTGTGTGAAAAGAAATATAGTCTTAAGATGTGGTATATTTATGGAATAAAGTGCTCAATATCAGAGCTAGAGCGTGTGTAAATATAAAGTGAAAATAGAAGTCAACACTTTCAGAGGCTTCAAGTATTGACTTCTATGTTCACTTTTATATATATATATATATATATATATATATATATATATATATATATTCAAATTCATATTCCCTCTGTTGGGCTTACTTTCAAGCAAATAACCTTGAGAAAGATACAGATTCATTTACTTTCGCCATTCTCACCACCAGCTAATATAGCCTTGATTGGCAACTAGCCCAGAAGAACTAATTTGAATACACGAACATAGCAAGTTATATATATATATATATATATATATATATATATATATATATATATGCGTTGAAACAAATTCGATTTTGTGTGTAGCCATTCCTAATCGGGTTTGCGTTATAGTTTTTGGGTGAGTGATACTCACTGTGTGTCATCTTGTAGCTCTGTGTCTAGCATCACTTATATATAGCAAGCCAATCGTATAATTATCTTTTGTAGGCTACACATGGATTGCGTTCGGTCTCCAGTAAAAAGAAATTATGAAAATATTTTGCCTCTGGCTGAGAGCATGACTGGTTTTTCTTAATAAAAATCAATAATTAAATCACAGAAAGGAAGAAAAATCAATAAATTTCAATATTGGTCAGTTAACGTTTCATTTAATCTCTTATCTGTTTACTATGAACTACTCTCACCTTCTTTCTTTCTTTCTTTCTTTCTTTCTTACATTGGTATATCTTTCTTTTCTTTTCACTATTGCATTTTTCTTTCTTTCTTTCTTTCTTTCTTTCTTTCTTTCTTTTCACTATTTCATTTTTCTTTCTTTCTCCTTACTCTCTTTATTTCTTTCTTTCTCTCTTTCTTTCTTTCTTTCTTTCTTTCATTGGTATATCTTTCCTTTCTTTTCACTATTGCTTTTTCTTTCTTTCTTTCTTTCATTGGTATATCTTTCCTTTCTTTTCACTATTTCATTTTTCTTTCTTTCTCCTTACTCTCTTTCTTTCTTTCTTTCTTTCTTTCTTTCATTGGTGTATCTTTCCTTTCTTTTCACTATTGCATTTTTCTTTCTTTCTTTCTTTCTTTCTTTCTTTCTTTCTTTCTTTCTTTCTTTCATTGGTATATCTTTCCTTTCTTTTCACTATTTCATTTTTCTTTCTTTCTCCTTACTCTCTTTCTTTCTTTCTTTCTTTCTTTCTTTCATTGGTATATCTTTCCTTTCTTTTCACTATTGCATTTTCTTTCTTTCTTTCTGTCTTTCTTTCTTTCTTTCTTTCTTTCTTTCTTTCTTTCTTACATTGGTATATCTTTCCTTTCTTTTCACTATTTCATTTTTCTTTCTTTCTGTCTTTCTTTCTTTCTTTCTTTCTTTCTTTCATTGGTATATCTTTCCTTTCTTTTCACTATTTCATTTTTCTTTCTTTCTGTCTTTCTTTCTTTCTTTCTTTCTTTCTTTCTTTCTTTCATTGGTATATCTTTCCTTTCTTTTCACTATTTCATTTTTCTTTCTTTCTTTCTTCTTTCTTTTCTTTCTTTCTTTCTCATATATTTCCTTTTTTTCATTATTACATATTTCTTCGTTTATTTGTTTTTGTTTTCTTTCTTTACACTATTATTTCTTTCATTATGTGTCTCTCTGTCTTTCTTTCAGTCATTTATATATCCCACCTGTCACTATTACATATTTTCTGCTTTTTCTTTCTTTCTTTCTTTCTTTCTTTCTTTCTTTCTTTCTTTCTTTCTTTCTTCATTGATTATTTCTTTCTTTTCTTTCTGCATTCATTCATTTATTCTTTTTTCTCTCTTTTTCTTTCTTTCTTTCATTCGTTCATTCATTCCTGCTTTCATTCATTTGTTCGGTAGTTTTTTTCTTTCTTCATTCATTCTTTCATTTGTACTTTCGTTCTTTCTTTCATTCGTTCATTTATTCATTGATTCTTTATTTTTTCTTCATTGTCTCCCTTTCTTTATTCATTCATTCATTCATTCATTCTCTATGTTTCTTACTTTTAATTCATTCATTAATTCATTCTTTCATTCCTTCTATTTTTATTCATTCATCCTTTTTTCTTTCGTTTTTTTCCTTCATTTACTGATTTTTCTTCTTTATTCATTTTTTCTCTCTTTTACTTTTTTCATTCTTTCAATCATTCGTTCCGTTTTCATTCATTCATTCATTCTTTCTTTCTTCTTTAGTTTACCTATCGATTATCGGTGTTGAAAGTGGGATCGAGGCGCCGACTTTAAATTTTCGCTCATTGTCTTTTAAATAACCTGGGGAAATCAAATCCATCCCCTCTCAACACTACGCCCTACCCCAACTCAACTAGCCCTGGATAGCAGCCAGACTACAAGAAGAACTAATTCAATGATAATAATAATAATAATAATAATAATAATAATAATAATAATAATAATAGTAGATTCTTTAGTAAATCAAAACAGAAGCCAAGAACCAACTATTGCAGCAAAAGATATGAAAAAGAAAGCCAAGGATAAAGCCCTTGAACAGATGAAACAACGCTGGCAAGACAAACCTCTGCATGGCCAATATCCAGAACGTGCAAATAAACCCAATGTTGATAAAGTTAATACTCATCGATGGTTACGAGCATCTGGATTAAAGTCTGAAACTGAAGGCTTTATTCTTGCAGCGCAAGACCAGAGTCTTTTTCACTAGGAATTTTCAGGCAAATATCATACATAATAATGTGGATCCAAAATGCAGGTTCTGTGACAAAATACCAAGAAACAATAGACCATCTAATCTCAGGATGTTCTATACTTGCCCCAAATGAATATAAAATCGTCACGATAGAGTGGGGCAATACTTACACTGGACAATGTGCAAACACTTTGGAAAATGTGTAAGCAAACACTGGTATGAACATCGGCCAGCGCCGGTTACAGAAATAGAAGATGTCACCATTCTATGGGATTATACCATCCACACAGACAGAAAAATTGAAGCAAATAGGCCGGACATTATTGTCAAAAAACCAGAAAAAAAAACTTGCCTACTAATTGATATGGCTTGTCCAGCGGATTGTAACATAGCAACCAAGGAATTTGAAAAACTATCAAAATACAAAGACCTGGAAATTGAAATAGAAAAAAATGTGAAATTGAAAACAAGAATAATACCAGTGGTAATAGGTGCACTTGGAATTATAAAAAATGGAACAAAACAACACATTGAAAGAATCCTGAAACCCCAGCTTAAGAGACATACAGAAAATTGTCTTATTAAGTACAGCACACACACTAAGGAGAACTTTGTCTATGTAACGCTAGCAACTTCATCGGAGATAAAAAAAAAAAAAAAAAAAAAATTAACATGAAATGTGGCCATAACAACACACCACGACCTGCCTTAGGTCTTTCCGCAGACTTGGTAGGTAGTGTGTCCATAGCAGAAATCGAATGATGATGATGATAATAATAATAATAATATCCTGTAGCCTTGCTGCACAGGACCAATGCTTGCTAACTAGGAATTATCAAGCACAGATACTAAAATATTGTGTCAGCCCAAAATGCAGATTCTGTGATAAATATCCAGAAACGGTTGATCATCTTGTATCAGGTTGCACGATATTGGCACCCACTGAATACAAAACCCGACATGACTGCACCGGAAAATCTGCAACTTCTACGGGAAGGAAACTGAAAGAAACTGGTATGAACACCACCCATACCCGGTTACGGCGATAGGAGCTGTTACAATTCTATGGGGCTACACAATACACACAGACAGGACAATCAAGGCCAACCGGCCAGATATTGTTATTAAAGACCACAAACAAAAAAAGTGCCTTTTTATTGATATGGCAGTCCCTGCTGACTGAAATTTATCTTTGAAGATATTCAAAAAATTGTCAAAATACAAGGACCTTTAAATAGAAATCTCGAAAATGTGGTACATGGGAACATCAACAATCTTGCTGTAGTTGGAACCCTAGGATTGGTTGGAAAAGATTCCAGTAGATTAATTGAAGGGATTCCTGGAAGTCGACGCCTCAAAGAGATACAAAAATTGTTCTGACAAGTACAGCCCACGCTTTACGAATGGCTTTGTCTATATAATTTCTTAATTTTTTTTTTTTTTTTGGTTAGTGGAAAATGTCATGATGCCATTTCTAACCTTAGGTCTCTGGGAGGAACCCGGAAAGAAATGAGTACACATCAAAAATCAAAGGAAATAATAATAATAATAATAATAATAATAATAATAACTAAATGGAAACGATGGAGACCTATATTGACAATTCCACCAGTTATCGCCTTCAGAGCTAAGAGCCGCCATGACACGCACATTGTAGCGAATCAAACTCATCCTCTTCAAATCTATTACCAAACGTTATCTTCCCCACATATCCTCATAAATTGTGACTCTTCCTCTATTACCCTCTAATTTGGGAGAGGGGGGCTCTTCGGCCCTGTGCAGGGGGAATATCATTGTAAAAAAAAATGAATATTTTAATATGGTTTCTTAACGAAATTAATAATGATCTCCCGTGAAACCACGCCTTTTGCAACTGAAAAAATATTTTTGTCTGTCGTTCTATTTGCGTTCATTTATTCTGTTTTCGTTCCTGTATTTTAATTTTTTTTCTCTCTCTTAAACGACATCCTAAATTCACTAAACAATAGCGCGATTTTTGTATAGTTTTCTTTTTAATGATCAGCTGCCATTTTTCTTTAATCATCTTTTGTACATCTTTATTTTTGAAAGGTCAAATCTATATATCTATCCATCTATCCATCTATCTATCTATCTATCTATCTATCTATTATATATATATATATATATATATATATATATATATATATCATAAATTAACTGATTTGAAATATATTTCCATCGCTACACAGGAATTACCATTTTTTAAAATACGAAGCTAAAACTTCAAATTTAATTATATAATTAAATTAAAAGCATTAGTTAGGAGAATTAATGCTTTTAATTTTAATTTAATTACTTTAATTCAATTATATAATTAATATATATATATATATATATATATATATATATATATATATATATATATAATATTCATAGCTTTCTTTTATATCAGTATTTTCGTATCTATCTTTGTCTTTTCCTATCTATCTATCTATCTATCTATCTATCTATCTGTCTATCTATCTATCTATCTATCGATTTATCTATGAATCTATCCGTCAGTCTGTTCGTATGTGTCTCAGTTTGTTCGTATCTATCTATCTATCTATCTATCTATCTATCTATCTATCTATGGTTATGACTTTTTTAACATAAGTTTACTTTTTTCAAAAATGCCATTCAAACACGGAATTTCTAAGATCATATATAGAGATACCCGTAATATGACTTTCTGGAGCTTTATTTAACTTAATCCGGTTAACTAACTAGCAAATTGAAAAATAAAGCTTTTGAAATATTTTGATTTTTTACCCTTATTGCCTATATGTTAAAATCGAATTTTTGGTTTAGGGGTGACCTTTAACAAAACCTAAAAGAAATTAATGCCTTTTTCTTTATGTTTTTAAAACAAAAGTTCATCGACTTATGACACAGGAATATAGGGCTACACAAAAGTCATACCATAATACACATATATCCTAATACTGTGCCGTCCTGGTTAAGACGTTAAACTACATCCTCATCCTGAGTAAGAGGATAAACTACGTCCAGCAGAAAGGCCTCTGATCAGGAGGTTTTGAGGAGCGTAGAACCAACTGTTAATTGCTGGTGTCCCCAGGTCCACCTTGACCCGAGGTGGTAGCAACTGTTAGGGTCCTAGCTATGGGCAAATAGTTAACTATTACCAGCAATACTTTTTTTGAAACATTATTACCAGCAATACAATTTTTCAGGAAAAATATTAACGGAAACAGATTTTTGACAAAACAAAATATTACCAGCAATAAAGAATTTTGTCGGCATTGAGTAGCCCATTGAGGCTGATGTGCCTTGGGACAAAATAAACCAAAACCAATCTAAACCAAAGATTAAATATTCTATTCCTACGAAGCTATCCTAAAAATGTTGTCGGCATTAATTAACCCATTGTGGTTGATATGCCGTAAAACAAAAAAAAAAAAACAAAACAAAAAAAAAAATCTAGACCAAAGAATACATATCCTAATCATACAAATCTATACTAAATATGGTGTTGGCATTAAATAAACAGTTGATGTTGATATGCCGTAAAACAAAATAAACCAAACCAATCTAGACCAAAGAATACATATTCTCTTCAAACGAAGCTATCCTAAAAATGTTGTCGGCATTAAATAACCCATTGAGGTTGATATGCCGTAAAACAAAATAAACCAAACCAATCTAGACCAAGGAATACATATTTATTCATACGAATCTATCCTAAATATGTTGTCGGCATTAAATTGCTTATTGAGGTTGATATGCCGTAAAACAAAATAAACTAAACCAAACCTCATACTGTGTTTAAAGTAGTTTTTCTCTCCTTTTCTTCCATTTTCTTCTCTCCTCAATAATTCATTACATGTAGAAAATTCAAATAAATATGCTTTAATTTTAATGTTTTTCCCTCAGAGTAACACTGAATTCAAATTTGGCACAAATCTTCCTCTTCAAACACTTGCGATCATAAACACTTTCAAATGTTCAATCATAAAAACCATCTACGCATGCGCATATTTAAATCAGCCCAGCGCAACCACACGCACAGACGGCGGCAGATCTCAAAGATACATCTTAATAAATGCTTTTTACACGCCAATATAAGCACACGTTTAAGAGTCTCGTTTATCAAAAGACTCTGTATAAAAAGCTTCTTCCCAAGAATGGCTACTTCCTCGGAACTGACACTGTGGTGATGCTTCCAAAAACAATATAATTTTAATTTTTTTTAAAGTTTGTCGTCAATCCGTATTTGTCATCGTATAGGACAGACCGGGTTCTATAGCCTTGGATGGCAACTGGTCTACAGCAGAAAGAAATGGCAACCGCCTGCGAGAATTAATCTGCCTAGCCAGTCATGTATCGAAAGATACATGATCGCCTAAGCGTGTATCATGCATGGTACATAAATGACTGAATCTTCACTTCTTGCGACCTTCTCTTACGTTCATTTCAAAAACCACAATTAGTAAGCTTCTACCGTGAGAGACTCTTGGGCTTAACGATGGGGGAACTTTATTAAATAAAAATAAAAAAAAAATGACTAATAAAACAATTTTGAATAGAATTTAAGCATTGAAAGTCCGTCTATATATCTTGAAATTTATCTATATTTTCCAAAATTGTAATTCAAATTCTTCCTTACTTTTTAGCAAATTCAAGCACCTACTTAAATAGTCATGCCCGTGGGAATTTTTCGGCTTATGTCTGAATATTATAAACATGAACAAAATAAAATAAAGAGTTACTTTTTTAATCAAATATGCATATTCTTGTTATAAATAATCAAAAGTGGTCTCCCTTATGTTACTCTTCTCTTTGAGATAGCAATTTCTATTCACTGGGACTATAAAATGACATTGCACGCGAACCTTGTATACTCAGTTGAATAAAGCTTTTTTAAAGCCCAGATCCGCGTACTTTTGTCATTACAACTATCTGAAATATGCATCAGGCTAAGATGGAGAAAATTGAAAAATATGAATTAATTGTCGTAGCCTTTCTATTTTACAATTTTATCGCATGACGATTATGGAAAGTATATTGCTGGGTTGGAAACACCTCTCATTGGTATAATTACTTTGGCCGAGTATTATTTATTTATTGGTATTTTATTAAAGAATTCATTTGCTCCAGAACGAAGAGACAATTACATTTTGAGTGATTTTTCTTTGTAATTTTAATTTAGTTTTTCATATGAGAAGCGACATTATCTCTTTCAATTATCCTCCTCTTGTCGAAAATACTTTTTTTTTTTTAAATAATACATTTGTTGTCTTTTCACCTTGAATTGCTTTTGAGTTTCTCATAGAATTTTCTGTATAGCATTTTATTTTCAATTTTTGGAGAGTTGCTTAAAAATGGTGTTGATTGTAAGAGCCAAAATACGTCGTGTTAAAATAAAAAGCAAAACACACGCACAAAAAAAAAACCCAAAACGGCAACTCCTCAAGAATTAAATCAATAAAATTTGTAATAATCTTTTTTTTTTCCTTCTGAATATTGTTTTCAATTAAATTATTTAAGTGTATCCCTGTTATTCATCGTACTCTCAATCGTATTATTCAATATTTTAAGTTTTGCTTTAACGAGAGAACCAATTAAACTACTATAATGTATTCCCCCCAGAAAAAAAATTACACAGTGTACTGACTTTATTGTTTGTATTTTGTTTAAAACTCTTGTCTTCTTATTCATCAGGTTAAGAAAAAAAAGAGATAAAAGTTTAAAAAAAAAAGTTAAATTGAAACATTTCATTTCATATCACCCGCCTGAATTTATTTCTTAAATTAAACATTTTTCTAGTGCAATATTCGTTTTTTTTTTTTTTTTTTTGAGATGCAGGTGGGGAAAGACTAATTATATAAATCTAAGATTTTAACATCTCTATTCAAGTGATTTGCTTTTATTTAAGTAGCAGCCGTCAGTTAAGTGTAACGTTTTGAATTTCTTTTATAAACAATAAACATATTGTAGCGACTGATATGTTTTTCCACGCCCACATTTTATTCTTCTGCGATTGGCACATAAATCAATACTGCCTTTCTATAGGACAATTTAGCCATCGCAGTCGTTGCTTTGAATTTTTCGGTTTTGAACTTGCTTACTTGTTTCGCTAGTATAAATTTAGCGATTAGTCAAATTTTAACCAATCACATATTTTAGTGCAAAATCAACTTTTCCCGCGGTTTCGCTGGGAGCCTACCTGTAGCATTAAAAGAGGCGACTTTGTTATAAGCCGCCAGTAGAGTCCAGCAAATTTCGCATTTCAAACGCACACACAGACAAAGAATTGTGTAATACATATATACATAACTCTTTGTGACTCAGCTAAGTTCAATCAACCATGACTCTGTTGATTTCTCTAACGCAACACACTTTCTGATCAATTGTATTCTTGTGTTATCTATTCTAACACACAATCCTTTGTTCTAATATTGATTCCTGAAAATTTTTCTCTCACGAGAACTTTCTTTCGAACAATCAATTACAAATCAAAATACGGTAAAAGGGAAGCAACTTCTATTCCCTTAATCTATACATTGAATACAAATTATTGTATATTTCGTCGGTGTATGTTATTTCAATATATACTTGTTGATTCACATTAGAAGTTTCGGTGTTTTCTTGAATCATTAATAATACAAAAGATATATGCGCTAAAGAACACGCCCTATAACAATATTTCAACGAGTATTGTAAAGTATTTATCTTTTTATTCACACACACGCCTCGTTTTAAAATCAACTATCGTAAAAGAAATAGCAAAGACGAAAAAACAACAGTTTGCGAAGAATTATGAACTCACATCTTGACAAGAAGCATCCATTTGTCCATAGGGATCAAAAATGCAGGAAGCCATGTCTCGTTAAGTGACACCTTTATTTTTCTAGTTCTCTTAGTACTCTGCCCAGAGCCTTACCTGGGTTGTTAAGGTTCCACCTTCGTAAAGGATGCATTGATCTTCAAGATTAGGAAAACTAAAGATGCTGAATGCCTAGATTGGGGGATGGGATCAACATCATTGACATATCTTCATTTTTGAATGTTGGCTCTACGGCGATTAACAGCTGGGCGATTTAGGCGGGACCAGAAGGGCTAGACATCACTGGAGCCAGGGGTAGTGATTCTGTAGAGCTGAGAGAGAGAGAGAGAGAGAGAGAGAGAGAGAGAGAGAGAGAGAGAGAGCCTGTGTTCCACGTTATTAAGGTGGCTGTATCACAGTGACAGACGCTGACTATGAGCTCTGTTGTCAGTGGTCCAACCGAATGTAGCCACCTGTGTCTAGATACTAGATTATTATTATTTATTATTATTATTATTATTATTATTACGGAAGCAAGAGAGTGGGATTCTGCAGGGCTTTGAGACAGCCATAAAGTGATTACGTAATCTATAGTGTAGTGTTACTGACAAACTAGAAGTAGTTTGCACTCAACTGCCTTGGGTGTGCAATTGCTGATAATTTGATAATGACGTCACAAAACTCAGCGGCCAACAAAAGATCAGTTATTTGGTTTTCTCCTCGAAAAGATTTCAAATCCTTTACTTTTTTTTGTTCTAGATTTTTAGTTGATGCTACCATAAGCCACGCTTATGCGCATTCAAAATTATTCAGTGATAATTGTTCCTTC